ATTTTTTGAATATATTTGTACTTATTTCACTGAGGGAGAGGGAGAGAGATAGAAACATCAATGATGAGAAATAATCATTGATTTGCTGCCTCCTGCACACCCCACTGGTTGATTGAGCCCGCAACCCAGGCATATGCCCTTGACCGGAATCAAACCCAGGACCCTTCAGTCCTCAGGCTGATGCTCTATCCATTGAGCCAAACTAGCTAGGGCAGGGGCACCACATTTTGAATCGTAGCATTTTAATTGGAGGTACTAAGTGTTCCTATGGTTGGAGTTTGTGTGCTTTTGTGAGAATCATGCCCTGCCAACTTGGATTTTCTAGTAGTTGCAGTGGCAGTCTCCATTTGGCTTTTAAAGGCTACCATTGTTTATTAAGAATTTCAAATTAGAGTTACTGGCACGAACAGTGAGTCAGTGAGTGCCTTGCTGCTGTTCACCAGACTGGTGAATTCAGTAAGCAACAAACCTAAAGTTCCTAAGCTCTTGTGAAACAGTGTTCACAATTAATCCAGAGGTTGGATTAACATATACTATCTAGATGAGTAAGGAAAATATTTTCCTTAAATAGAACTCCCTACTCTTATTTCCTTTTATTTTTAATGGGAGTATTTTTCTTTATTTTTAAAATAGAATTTATTGGGCTGACATTGGTTAATAAAATTTTATAGGTTTGAGTTGTACAATTCTATAATACATCATCTGTATATTGTATTGTTGGTCCATCACCATCTACTGTTATTTCTAAAAGTGAGAACAGGTGACAGTCTGTATTTCTTTTCTATAATACTGGAGTTCACTGTTAGAAGAATTAATATATGACGCATGTATCATGTGTTAAATTAAATAGCATCCATGTACCACAGTATCTTATCCATGAAATAAGGTGGTTATAATAGATATTTGTTAGATGCCTATTAAAAATTAGTGAACAGCAAATGATAAACTTACATTGTTTCCCTTTTTTAGACATTTTTAAAAATTCATTTAAAAAGTGAACTCTTAAGACCAGTGTAACTGAAGATTTTGACTTACAACACAGATAAAATTTTAGTTGTTTAGTAGCTGCACATACAGATGTCAGTTTCATTGCTTGATTCGGGTTGGACAAAGAAAAGTAATATAACTATTCAGGTTTTATGTCATACATCAGCATTTAAATTTTTTTAATCCTCACTATAGGATATTTTTTCCAGTGTTTTTTTCTTCCCCCTTAGAGTGGAGGGAAGGGAGGTAGAGCTGTAAGCAAGAGACATTGATTGGTTGCCTACAACACCCACCCCGACCTACTGGCCGGGATCGAGCCTACAAACCAAGGCTCGTGCCCTTGACCGGGAATAGAACCCAAGACTCTTAGGTCTGAGGGCTGATGCTCTAACCAGTGAGTTAACTGGCTAGGGCTTGGCATTCAGTTTATCTTCAAAATCAAGCAAAGAAAATATTTTAAAGTTCATTGAAAGATAAATGAAATTTAAACACTATTTTTTGCTTTCCTTAGCTTACAAGCTCATCTACTGTGGTGGTGACAAATCACTTAAAACTAAATTTTGAGAGCAATAAAAACTCTTTTATTTTCTACATAGATGAAACCCAAAATGTTAGTGTTGTGGTTTGAAATTTTTCACAATACTGTACATAGGTGAAAACTGAATAGTATAGTTTGGAAAAATAATTTAAATATTTAACTTAAGCATTTTTGTTTTACATACAGGATTATGATCTTTTGGGTGAAAAAATAATGTCCTGTGGTATGGATCACTCTCTTAAACTTTGGAGGATTAATTCAAAGAGAATGATTAATGCAATTAAGGACTCCTATGATTACAACCCAAATAAAACTAACAGGTAACATTTGTGGCATTTAAAACAAGTATCTCATGCTGTGAAATAGATGGGTCTTACTTTTTCCAAAATTGTTATATAAGTCCCCAACACTGAGTTTAGAAGTTAACTTTAAAAACTTTATATATCATAAAATTCACAAATTTTCAACAGAAGCCATTATTTTTAATCTAATATATTTATGTTTCATTTTTTTAAATCAGCTTTACATTGTATTTTCTCTAACTTAGTAGCACATTTTACTTAGTTTCTTTCCGTGTAAATTTTAATTCAGTGCAGTAAACCTTTTTTTAAAATGGGGTTCTTAGCTTTAATTCATGTTAATATAATGCTTTCCTTTAATTGCTACTCATTTCATTAAGTGGAGAAATTTCAAAAGTGGGAGCCTTGCTCCCTGCGACTAAGAAGTGGGAACTTTGCAATGTTCTTCATATATTTTTGTTTGTTTGTTTGTTTTTTGTTTGTTTGTTTTTAATGGTTATCTTCATATATTTTTGAAATGCCTCAGTTCTTGATTCAATAACTATCTTTTCAGAATCTTATTTAGCCTATTAATATAATACTTTGACCATAGTTATCATGTTTGTGTATATTAACTTTGTTTGCACTTTGTGTTTCAAGCAAAGCTAGAATTTTCTGGTTATCAAATCAGACTAATAGATTATTAGTTAAATTTGTAGCCATCAGTATATATTTCATTGCACTTATATTCATCAAAACTTCAGTGGCCTCTAATGATTAGCACAGCTTTCAGATTTCTATTTTAAAACACCAAAAGCTTATACAGTCCTAAATTTACGTTTTTATATTTTCTGGAGCTCTAGAATACATAGAAATTATATTTCACAGTTTACAAAAAACAGGGGGTTATGCTGGTCTTCTCCTTGAAAGGTTTAATAATAGTTTATAATATGTATTTGATTTAAAAGCAAATAATAGCCTAACCCATGTGGTCACTGGTTTAGCATTAACCCATGAACCAGGAGGTCACGGTTCGATTCCTGGTCAGGGCATATGCCCAGGTTGCAGGCTCAATCCCCAGTGTGGGGAGTGCAGAAGGCAGCCAATCAGTGATTTTCTCTCATCATTGATATTTCTATCCCTCTCTTCCTCTCCCTTCCTCTCTCTGAAATCAGTAAAATTATTTTTTAAAAGCAAATAACATAATTATAGCAGAATTAAGCACTTAGTAGATCATTAATAATATTTTAATTTTTTAAAAGATTTTTGTATTCACTTTTAGAGAGAGAAAGGAAAATGTTGATGATGTAAAAGCAAAACATTGCTTTTTTTGCCTCCAACATGCCCTCCCCCTCCCTTCTGCCCCCAACTGGGGACCTAGTCTGAAACCTGGGCATGTGCCTGACTGGAAATCAAACCAGGGACCTTTCAATGCACAGGATGACACCCAAACAACTGAGCCACACCAGCCAGGGCTAATAAAAGATCCCAGAATTTGTATTGGAAGGGATGTTAGAAATGATTCAGTCCAGCAATCTTGTGGGAAAAGTAAAGAGAGGATTTGTGACTTGCCCGAGACATAACTAATTTCTGGCATATCAAACTTCTGCAGTTATTTCAGTACAGAAAGTGAATCACTCACTAGATTAGAAATGTTAGGTTTACTTTTAATTAACTGTAGGATTGGTAGCAACTTGTAGCTTACGGTCTTTACACAAACATTTTTAAGGGGGGGAAAATGCTACCATATTTTACTTTCTTCGATACAAAAAAAGTCCTAACTAATATATGTCAGATTCCTGTCAGATACCATTTTCAAAATTGTTGCTCAAGGCAGTACTCTAATGTAATCTTACCTTTAGCAGCCTTTGGAATTATGTATCATTGTTCCTAGGAAAATGACCATCTTTTTTTTTTTTAATATATTTTTATTGGTTTCAGAGAGGAAGGGAGTGGGAGAGAGATAGAAATATCAATGATGAGAGGGAATCATTGATTGGCTGCCTCCTGCACACCCCCTTTCCCCCCCCCGCCCCCCGACTGGGGATCAAGCCCGCAACCCTGGCATGTGCCTTTAATCGGAATTGAACCCAGGACCCTTCAGTCTGCAGGCCAATGCTCTATCCACTGAGCCAAATCAGCTCCAATAAAATGACCATCTGTTGAAATAACCCAGATGTGTTGACTTTCATAGTCTAATTTTATTTTATTTATTTTTGTTGTTAATCCTCACCCGATGATATTTTTCCATTGATTTTTAGGAATAGTGGAAGAGAGAGAAAGAAAGACAGAGAGAAACATCGATGTGACTGAAACACATAGATTGGTTGCCTCCTGCACAAGCCCTGACGAGGGCCAGTGCCCAAGGAGACTGCAACCAAGGTACATGCCCTTGACTGTAATCAAACCCAGGACCCTTTGGTCCACAGGCCGACGCTCTGTCCACTGAGTCAAACCAGCTAGGGCCCATAGTTTAATTTTAAAGGATTGAGTAGGTATTTTCTGTAAAAATACTTCTAGGTCTATAATCAGATATCTTTGCTTATCATTGGTTAGGATAGCCAGAATTGATTAAATTTGGCCTATATATACATGGTATGGTATGAAGCTACAATTTTTATAAATGAAATTGCATAGGATAAAAACAAAATTGAATTGAGCTGATAATGGAAAAAAATATAGAAACAAAAATGGAGTAAGACTGTAGCTCTCAATAGAAAGATAAGGTATTCAGTTTTCTAGGATCAAGGAAAAATCGTCATGCATTTTATTTTTCAAAGTTTATAAATCCAAAAATAAAAGTTAGTGTGATTCGACTATACTTTTTTCTCTTAACTTTTACATTTCCATTTCAGGCCATTTATTTCTCAGAAAATTCACTTTCCTGACTTTTCTACCAGAGACATACATAGGAATTATGTTGATTGTGTGCGATGGTTAGGTGATTTGATACTTTCCAAGGTATGGTAACTGCTGTTAAGCTGTACTTCCATTGTTTGTGTGAGTTGGATTTTTTTTTTTTAGGGAGCTCGATTTTTAATGCAGTTTGGTAAATTGGATGGCAAATTGGGAATTGCTTTTTCTTTCCTTTCTTTTTTTAATTTTTTTTTAGTCTCATGATATTTTGATAGGTTTGGAAACTTGTTCTAGGCATAAGACATTCCAATGAATTTTATAATTTGTGCTCCAATAAACTGAAAAATCTTCATTTGTAAGATGATATTGTTGTGATAATCAGTGTTATTATAAAATAACCAATATCTAAAGCTAGTAGTAGGGTTTTTTTTTTATGTTTTGTGTCCATTTCAATACACTTTTACATTTAAAGAAACAGACAGCTGGAGCTGGCTCATGGTCTGTAGTTTGCCAACCCCTTCTCTAGCATGTTGATGTACATATGTATCCTTTGCTGATAATTTAGAGAAGTTGTTGGTGATGTCATCTGAACATTTGGGATTGTTAAATTTGGAGAAATTGCTAGTTTCTTGTGTGGATTTCAGGTCATTTCACATTTTCTTGGCAGAGCCTAATCTATTTTTTTCTTGACTTGCAGCTAGTTTTATTTTATTTTATCATTATTATTATTATTATTATTTTTTTGCTTATTTAAACTTTTGATCTTGAAGTTAGATTCACAGGAAGTTTGAAAGATAGTACAGAGAGGCCCCTTCACCCAATTTCCCCCAATGGTTACATAACTATAATACAATATATAAAGTCTTGACATTGTACAATGTGTGTGTGTCATTTTATCACATGTGATTTTGTCATTGTAAGAATGTTACAGTATTGCGCTTTTTAAGATTTTTTTTTTCCATTCATTATAATGCCATCCAAGTTGTTGTGTGTCAGTACTTCTCCCTTTTTATTGCTGAGTAGTATTCTATGGTATGGGATGTACCACAGTTTATCTAGCCATTCATGTGTTGTAGGATATTTTGGTCCTTTCCAGATTGGGGCTATTAAACATAAAGCTGCTAATGAACAATCGTGTTTAGGTTTTGTGTGGACTTACTTAAGTTTTCATTTCTCTGGGATAAATGCCTAGAAGGGCAATTGCTGGGTCATGGTTAAGTTTGTTTAGTTTTTTAAGAAACTGCCAAACTATTTTCCAGAGTGGCCGTGCCATTTTACATTCCCACCAGAAATGTATGAAAGATCGAGTGTCTCGGAAGCTTCGCCGGCATTTGGTATTGTCACTATTTTTTATTTTAGCTGTTCTGATAGGAGTGTAGTGATACCTCATCGTGGTCTTAATTTGCATTTCCCTGATGGCTAGAGATGTTGAACATCTTTCATGTGCTTATTTACCATCTAATATATCCTTTTTGATGATGTCTCTTCACGTCTTCGCTCATTTTCTAATTGGATTGGTTTTTGTTTTTATTTTTACTGTTGAGTTTTGAGAACTCTCAATATATTCTAAATATGAATCCTTGTGTCAGATGTGTAGTTTGCAAATATTTTCTTCCAGTCTGTAGCTTGTCTTTCCATCCTCTTAACAAGGTCTTTAGCAGAACAGATATCTCTAATTTTGATGAAATACAATTTGTTGATTTTTTAAAAATTATTTTATGGATCATGCTTTTGATGTGTTTAAAATGCTCTTTACTAAGTCATAGATCCTAGAGATTTTCTCCTGTGTTTTCTTCAAAAAGCTTTATATTAAATATATGATTCTTTAAAGTTAATTTTTTTAAAATATATTTTATTGATTTTTTACAGTGAGGAAGGGAGAGAGATAGTTAGAAACATCGATGAGAGAGAAACATCAATCAGCTGCCTCCTGCACATCTCCCACTGGAGATGTGCCCTCAACCCAGATACATGCCCTTGACCGGAATCGAACCTGGGACCCTTTAGTCCGCAGGCCGACACTCTATCCACTGAGCCAAACCGGTTCCGGCTAAAGTTAATTTTTTTATGAGGTTTAGGTAGAAGTTTATTTTTTGCCTATAGGTTTCCAATTGTTTTAGCACCACTTATTGAGAGACTATTCTTTCTCCTTTTAATTGCTTTTGTACCTTTGTCAAATTGTTTGGACATACTTGTGTGAGGCTCTTTCTGGTTTTTCTTTTTTGTTCCAGTACTCCACCAGTACTACATACACAGTTTTGATTACTCTAGCTCTATAATAAATCTTGGAATGGGTAGGTAGAGTGATTTCTTCCATTTTATTATTCTATTATTCATTTTTACAATTATTTTAGTTATTCTGTTGCTTTGCCTTTCCTATAAATTTTAGAATAATCTTGTCTACACCTATAAAAAATCTTGCAGAGGTTATTTGCAGGAGGGTGGGGGGGATTTTGCTCAGAATGGTGTTAAACCTATCTGACATTTTGGAAGGGAATTATTAATATCTTGGGATTTTCTGCATGGACCATCTTGTCATTTGAAAATAAGAAGTTTTATATCTTCCTTTCTGATCTGGATGCTTTTTATTTCCTTTTCTTGCCTTATTGCACTGGCAGACTTCCAGTACTATGTTGATTAGCAGTGTTAAGAGCAGACATCTTGACTTATTTCTGATATAAAGGAGAAAAATTTTTAATCTTTTACAATTACATGTATTAGCTGTATAGTTTTGTAGATATTCTCTATCAAGTTGGGAACTGTTCCCTTTTCCTAATATTTTTAGTTTTACCATGAGTGGGTGATGACTTTCGTTAAGTGCTTTTTCTGTATCCATTGATATGATCATGTGGTTTCTTCAGTCTGTTAATGCAGTAGATTGCATTGAATTCTCTTTGCTAATATTTTGTTAAAGATTTTTGTGCCTGTAGTCATGAGGTATGATGCTGATCTGAAGTTTTCTTTTTATGCTGTTTTTGTCTGGTTTTGGTATCGAGAATACTGGCTTCATAAAATGAATTTCAAGTCTACCCTCCTATTTTCTTGAAGAGATTATACAGAATTGGTGTTAATTCTTTAAATGGTTGATAGACTTCTCCAGTTAAATCATCTGAGTCTAGAAAATTTTGAGGGGGAGTTTTTAAAACACAGATTCAATTTCCTTAATAGTTAAAGGGCCATTCAAATTAGCTATTTCATATTAATGAATTTTTACTGGTAATTTTTCTTGTATGAGGAATTGGTCCATTCCATTTAATGTAAAATTTATGTGTATGGAGTTGTTTGTAGTAGTCCTTTATTATCCTTTTTATATCTTTAAGGTCTCTAGTGATAGCCTGTTTCATTCCTGAAATTGGTAATTTTTCTTTTTATGAGTCCTGCTAGGTGTTTGTCAGTTTAAAAAAAGATTTTGCTTGCTGTGGGTATATTTTGCACTTTTACTAGTTTTTTAAAGTGGGAGATTCAATTATTGACTTGAGACTCTTTTAATGTAAGCATTTGGTGCTATGAATTTCCACCAGTACTGCTTTAGCTGCATCTCACAAATTCTGATAAGTGTATTGTGTAGTTTCTAGGTGTTGGGAGACATTTTTGTTACCTTTCTGTTCTTCATTTCCAGTTTGATTTCACTGTCAGAATGCAGTTTATTATTTTGATTATTTTTTTCAGATATGTTTCATAACCCTATTTTTGGTTTGTTCCATGGGAGCTTGAAAAGAATGTATAGTCTGCTATTGGCTGGAGTGTTCTGTAAATATCGTTTAGATCCTATTGGTTGATGATGTGGTTGAATTTATATCTTTGTTGATTTTTCTACTCATGTTGTTATTGAGAGATGAGTTTGGAAGTCTCCAGCTATTATTGTGGCTTTTTCCTTTTTAGTTCTATATCTTGCAGCTCTGTTGGTTGGTGCTTACATACTTTGCTATGCCTTAGTGGCTTGACCTTTTATCGTTATGTAATGTCCACCTCTAGTAATTTGCTTTGAAGTCTCCGTTATCTGGGAGTAATTTATTCCATTTTGCTTTCTTTTGATCAATGTTTGCATGGTATATCCTTTCCCAACTTTTTTCTTTTAATGTACATGTATCATTATATCTGAAGTGAGTTTCTTGTAGGTGGCATATACACTGAGTGTCCAGATTATTATGACCACCTGACGTTTGTTGGCAAATTAGCTATAATTTCACACTGAAGTTGCTAGAGGGCCGGACCATTATAAATAAGGAAGCAGGTTGTTTACCACGACAGAAGTGATTTTTTTCTGAAGATTCAGGTAAACAATGCGATTTAACAGCCTTTGAAGGTGAGTGGCCAGATTATTATGACCACCTGACGTTTGTAGGCAAATTAGCCGTACACTGCATTATATGGGATATGGAAGCTGAAGGCCTGTTCGAACACCTTTGCTGTCTGCAGTTACCAAGATAAAACATCTCCAATTCTCACAGGAACACAAGGATTGGACAGTCGAGCATTGGAAAAAGTCATG